CCCGACAAAAGATGAAATGCTTCTATTGCAAGAAGCAATGCCATCTAGCAAATGAGTGTCGGAAGAAAAAGTGAGAAAACTTTTTCAAACATTTTAATGCAAACGCAAAGCACCTGTTGTATGTCACCGCACTCTCCTCAATCAGATCTAGCTTAGTATGTGGATTTGGGTGCCACCCGACACATGGCATATAATCGAAATGCATTTGTAGATTATACAAAACCTACATTGGAGGAGTTCATCTATCTGGACGGCGACAGTTGCCAACTCATTCGAATAAAAGAAAATGTTCTAATTTGCTTGAATTATGGTGAGGATAGAGTAATACATGATGTAATACGTTCTTGCTCTACGCAAGAACTTGTTTTCAATAACTCAACGTGTTCTCCAAGGCGGCAGTTTATTGATCAGGCTTGGTTAGTAAACTGGAATTATAAACAATTTTGTGTTTCATTGTTAATTAGTTAACAATGAAATTTATTTAAATTTATTTATTTTAATTTGCTTAAAATCATATGATGATTTTTTCAATATGCAGATATATTAGATTAACTTTAATTTTCAAAGTTAATTAGTTATTTCATGCAAATATTCTCCTTCAAATATACATAAAATAATGTTGTAACTACACTTTTGTAACTTATAGCCAAATTAAATATTAGAATAAATCCACATATCAATCAAAATATAACATATTTGATATAGATAAAATGATTTTTTATGATATACATCTTGTTCTTGTTTAAAATTTTCAACCATCAACTTGGCTTTGAGATTATTTTTTGTTACAAAAAAGTTTATTTTTCAATTTTTACATCCATTTGTTATCAATCAAATGTTTATTATTTGATAGATCCACTATCTTTCAAATTTTGTAATCATTGAACAATTACATTTTACTCTCCATAGTAATATTTCAATCAAAATTATAATTTATTTTTTTGAATTTATCAATAAGAACAAGATTTTTATTTCCAAAAACAACGCATTATTATCATCATTCTCGGACTCATTATTATAATAGCAAAGAGTAAATAAATCAATTTATATTTCATACCTTGTTTTAAATATTTGAATTATAACTATTACGTTCATTCAAAAAAATTGAATTTATTTTCAAACTTTACAAACATCAATCCAATAATACAATTCATGCTTCAATTATTTTCAATTTTGAACATCTAAACATCTAAAATTTTTCTTTACATGTGACATTTTTCTTTTTATTTTCTAAGATCCTACGTCTTTTATATAATAGTGCGTTTCAAATTTATTATAAAAAAATTAAATTTATTGTTCTAATGTTTTTTTGATTTTTAAGTACTGTTATCAAAATTAAAAAAATCCAAAAAATAAAACACTTTGATATTCTTGTTGCTTGTTGCATCTTGATCAGATCAAAATTTCCAAATATGAATTAATAGACGAATTCAAGATTAACTACAAGAAAATTTGAATATATATGTTAATTTTTTCAATTTTTTTTCAGATTTGATACTTACAAATTATCACATATCGATATGGTTGATCATGTATGCCTTGACACTAATTTTATGATCCAATTTTGTTTCTTGCTCGGTTTTTTTTCATCATTTTTCTATGTTTTAAATTGAGAAATATTTTAGATTTTATTAACTACCAAAATACTTTGCTCATTTTTAACAAATTAAAAATATTTTTAAGATTCTTTTTTTTCTCCCGCCATTACAACATGTGACCTGCGCCTCCTGCCTCATCATTTAAATTCCCATTATTCCCGTTTGATTACATTGTTGTTCTTCTAATCTCTTGTCTTTTGCGAACGAAGAAGATCCTTGTATTTCTTGTATCAATATTTTGTCCTCGTACAAAGCTTTATTTTGCTCACGCGCCTTGTTTTGGACAAGCTATGGTGTTAATTTTTTTATTCTTTCGCTCACTAGTTTCGTAACGATTTCAAAAAAAATAATCATATCAATGAATGTGAGTTTGAACAACACTACGCAATGATCAGACAATCCAGTGCTTTGAAATCCATTGTTAGACTTTAAACCACAAAATAATAATAAAAAATAATTAACCACACGTCAATACGAGAATATAACCTCACAACCATAGCTAACACGAACATATGTGATTCACTCTTGCTGAATATGTCCGCGTAAACGCTACAAGCTTTACTGTAAAATCCTGAAAAGTAATAAAAGATTGAGCTACCTTATATAATCACAATTTATCCAGCTTCACTAAATAATGTCAAGCATATCAAAGTTACCAAAATATTTGATTTAACTCCTAACAATTTGTAATATTCTATGCTTTTAGAATCAAGAATTTTCATTTTAAACTACATTTATCTTACAAAGATAATACAAAAGATATTTTAATTATCAAAATATCACCTCAATTATTAAATTAATTATACAAAATCAGTATCAATTAAGTATAGAAATCCTAAGTACAATTTATGTGATTTTCAACTATAAAATATATTTTACAGTGTAATACGAAATCCAAACTTTGGTTTATATCACATTTTGGCTATAATCAAATAAATTAGTCTATTTTTTATGAATAATAAATCAATAAAATGAAAATTTAGTTTGCAATCTACAACTCATGACAAATGCCAATTCAACTTCATCTTTAGCAGTATTATTAACAAAATTTTTATCGAAATTTCATGAAGAAAAGTGAGAAGGTGAAAGAGTAAAACCTGCGGGAGATCTCGTTATGCTTCGCACCTTAAATTGGCTTATGGGGGTGCCAGACATGTGCTGGGATATAATCTAAAGTGTTGAACCTGAAGATGGAGACCGAGGTCAACAATGATTTTTCGGCCCCAGACTGTCTAACAGGGACACGAGACCTTAGGGAGAGACACTACGTGCGAACGCCACTACGTGCCTTCAATCTATCTATATACATATATATATATATATATATATAAAACACACTTTGTGTATGATTGTGATTGCCTTGCAACTGTGATAGGCTTATTTCCTATTTTGACAATGTGTTTTAAGACATTGAAATTAATATATCCAGATTTCATGTGATTTTGTAAAAGTAACGATTGATTATTTTTGAAATGTCATGTACATTCATATGGCAATTGTGTTGTCAATGCTTCATTGATAAGAATTCCACTGTGAAGATCAGTAATGTATTACTTAGAGTGACACTATCATGAACCTCTGCATCTTTCTTCACTTCATGCAAGTCATTTTACTATGAAGCAAGATTCAAAGTATAATGAAAAGTCAAAAGATTAAAATTCCGAGAAATATCCATATCTGGTTGGGTCCAGTTAAATAAGCTTGTTAACAACCAGAAACGTTTGGCATTAGTGATCTTCCTCATTGAACTTTGTCCTCTTCCGTTTTTGACAGTATTTTTTCCTTTAATTTAAAAACTATTTTAGCAACAGTTGTTTTACGTTACGATTCAGCTGAAACACTCAGTTGCTTATAAAAGCTTGTATCCATGGGCTTCGTCTAGGTTGTTTGTTGGACTTGAAGTACCTTGATTGACCTACTGTTCAGTGATAGATTCATGATCATGGTAGGTTGTTTCTAGATTCTCGGCCTCGCAGCTGTTTTGACTGACTTCATATCGAACATGGGGTGGAAACACATTTTCCAAGTCAATCAAAATAGATCAGAAGTTTCCTAAAGTCTATAGAAGTCAAAACATGACAAGCAAGCACAAACCACAAAGGGTTGTTAACAGTTTAATATTATAAAGTTTGTTCTTTTATGAGTTCGTGTAAAGAAAACATCAGATCCATGAACGGTGGAGTGTCCTCATTCCTGATGTGGACTTGTCCCATCTTTTCTCCCTTTCCTCTCTTTCTTTGTTTGTATTCCACCGGATCAAAATGTCTTCTGACAGTAGGTTCTACTTTATTCTGTTTCATGGAGTCGTTGCCAAGTCTCATAAAGTTCTATGTGTTTTGCTCTTCCAAGATTAGTAGTTTACCTCAACATCTAATGGAATTGCATGTATACAAAGTAATGAAACCACATCCAAAATTTCAAAGGCCAACTTTGGCAGCTTTCATTCCATGTGCGCTTGTCCACAAGATGGGGCGCAACCAGATGTTGGAAGAATAGTTGTTAGTGTGGATCAGGTCATAACATGACTTTAATCATTAATTTATGTTACTTATCTTAGTTTAGCTGCGAAGATACTGCAGATAATCGGCACATCTGACAATTTGTTGCATGGACACAAACTTCCGAAGTCCAAGAAACTATGTCGGGAAAACCAATAGATAGCCGACGTGTTAGATCCACATGTTTGTTTTGAACTCAGGAATAGGGAAACAGGTGAAAAGCAATAGAGCAATTGGATAACATAAATTACAAGGAGGTAAACGGTTACACGTAACACAACCAAACAGATATGTGAATGATATTTATCATGAGACGAAGTATGCTTGATGCACACGATGAAAGAGACGTAAGTTGGTACGAAAGGAAAGCTTGTGGCTTACCGTACTTGTGCTGGACACGAAAAATAAGCACCGACTGTTGACCCGCCCTCGGGACTATATAAGGACAGCCTGAGTCCCCTTGAATGGTCAGCCACTCCATATGCAGGGGATAAGGAGAAGCTGTGATTTTGTTGCGCTATGGGTGTGCACCGGGAGAGTTTGAACGTGTATAGATCTATCTTAGAAGGAGCAGAGATTTGTATGTGAGCTCAGATATGTTGATCTCATCTCCTTCGCTGCATCATCAAGATTTGTCGTTGACTATGTTTGAGAGTGCATTTGCATTGAGATTTCATTCTAGACAGCATAATGGAGATGAAAAGAGGAACCTCCACCGTTTATCTATAGAATGCTTTCGAGATTTCTGAAATTCATGTCCGAGTATTATTCAATTGTAAAGTACTTCACGTGAGAAAACATATTATACTCCTTTGCACTAACTTGAATCTGCAGCAGTATTTCGTTCTGCATATCGAAATACTACTGCCATAGTGTTTGCATGTTCATACACTGGATTCATTTCTGTTTTAGTGGTGCATGGAGACGTTTTCGTACAGGAAGATCGTCTGATTGTACTTTCTACCATAGCACATTGAAAATATTAACATTCTGATTTTCCTTGACGAAACGTCTCCATGTCCTTCTCGAACATTCAGAAACTTTGGCGACAGTAGTGAAACTTGGATGACATTTGTGAAATGTCTACCAAGGGCAAAGCTTGAGGGTAAGTCGATTTTTTGTGTCCCTCATCAGATCGTCTGAAAAAGGGATCTTGCACCCACATCATACATACATTCCGTTTTTTGCCTCATAAAGAACTGGGATTCATCATCTCTGCCCGTGTGGCCTTACAATAAGCGTGGATTGAAGATGAGGTCTAATGAACCGCCAAACAAAACGTCAAAGTGTCACATTCAACAGGAATCAAGGGCTTGCAGGTAGATAGACTGAATTCGACGGGAGTGCACGTTTCAAAACCTGTCCAATTATGCAAATTTCTACTACTCCTACTTCTGAACTCAACTCGTTTCCAAGTTTTTTGGCTGCAGTGTGGTAAAAAAAAGGTAAAATGGTGGGTATAGTAATAACGTTTACCACATGAATACTTTACTCTCGACAGGAAGTAGCCAGAAGAGAAGACGAAGAGCATGCACTTCACTAGATTGGCGTGTGAGTACGTCCCAGAAGAACAGGACAATTGCCCACTTCAATTTCCAGGGGAAAAATAGGTCTTGTTCTCAGTAGATGCAGGCAACTAGTGGTTGAATTAAGCAATCGGGTTAGGAGGATACTGCGAGGAGTATTAATCATGAAAAATGGTTTCATTTGCACGTGCATAATATACACAAGTAATGAGGACATCAAGAAGGTCATGGAATACTTCCATTGGTGACCTTTACTTTAGCTGTCAAGAATATTTCTACTGTTGCTCATGGCGCCATTGCAGATTCTACTAATACTTTACTACTGATGCTGTGAATTACATTCCTCTCGTCCATTACAGGTATCAAGGCCTAATCGTGTATCAAAGTTGAATTCGACCTTGATCTGTCCGAGTTTGCAGGAAAAATCTGTAGTACATCGTAGTCTTCACAATTTACCTCCAAACTGTCATGTTGAAATGTTCTGCCTTGTGTGTGCCCTGTCATTACTCTGGTAATGATTGAGACTCCCGGCTGGGACTCACAGTCGGGAACACTTTTTTTCACTTCAATCACTCAGTTGCAATGCAGGCTGACTCTCTTCACCAGTACAAGCTCCAAGATGGTTTTATAGGAGGATACAAGTGGCAACATCGCAGCGTCTATCGATTTGTGCTGGTCGAAGCTCTCTTTTCAAACCACTGACCCCAGTAAGCACGGACCTTGCTAGAGTTGCGAACTTTCAGAATAAAATCTTGACTTTCAAGTGGTGGATGTTGTTCTCCCACCCTTCTGCCAACCCCAGATGATACTGTCCAATGTGAATTCCAGCACGCAATTGCAATGGGCGCTTTTCGATCGGCGAAACTGAAGAATGGAATGTAGGCAGGTGAAACATATTCCCGGAAAGAACCTTCAACCCTTTATCGTGTTTGGAAGTTGAGAAACTTGATGGAGACCATGAAGACGAAGGCGAATAGGCATGGGAAGACGAGAAGCATGATAGCCACGACCGGTAGAAAGTCATACTTGAAACCAAATGTGTCGTTCACAAAGTCCTTAATCCTTTGCGTGCCTCCACCGGTAAGCAACACATCCTCAGTAACATCACCGAACTGCGAGGTTATAAGTCCATATAGAGTCCACGCGACAGGGCAAATCCAGTAGTACCATATCCACCAACCGGGTATTCTCTGCACGAAATTAAGGAATATCAAAATTAGTTTAGGCTCACGCCTCAAAGATAAACAACATGTTGCAATTTTCGGTTAAGTTAACTCCTTAACGCCTGCAAAGTCGAAAGAGATGAAGAAGCAAACATTAGAATGCACGCTTCGAATCTATTTATCTATAAGTTGATACTTCTGAATCCTGAAACCAGCTAAAATCCTGAAACCAGTGTTTATCACTCCTCTCCCTCGAAAAACTTTAGATTTATTTCTGCAATGTGACTACTACTTGACTTCAAGGTAAGTGTCTAGCAAACAGGGTTTAACGTTCAAAAACTTTAGACCGGCAGTGATGATGATGACTGCCGGCAGTATATTTACCTTTTTAAAGATCAAGAACCCTGAGAAGAGATTGAATACAGAGTAGAAGAAAGCCGAGACAATCGCCGCAATGTTGTGATTTGGCGTAAGACCGACTGCCATCATGCCGTAGAAGGTGAAGTAAAGGAATGTGAAGAACATGAAGTATATATACCAGAAAAACTTTGCGGCTGTCCACTCATAGTTGATCATCGAGTATGTGATCAACGAGTAAACTATAACTTGTGCGAAGCAGTACGGAATTTCGATCAGAACCTGCAACCACATCAAATCCACAACTCAAGTTACCAACTAGTAACCAAATTCACCTTTGTGCCAGACTCTAAGCAACGCAATGCTTCAAGGGCTAGAAACCAGAATGGATAACCTGAGCTCAGGGGAAACGGCTAGTCGGACACAAAAATATCTTACCTGAGCAATGGCATATGGAAAAGCTGAGTACATTCCAGCAGCTCTTTCTCTGTAAAAGACTGTGCGCTCAGTTGCAACGACAGGCTGCACTGTGGATGCATTGTTGATTCCAATAAAGAGAACAGCACCAAGCATGCTCCCCATGATACTGAAGATGTTTGACTGCTTGTGACTGGAGCAGAGATACCAGGATGTTTAATCAGTAACAATGCCACTATGACATTTCAAATAAGTCAGACATGTTATGGGTGGCATCAGCAGCTGGATTAATTAGGCTGGAAGACAAATTCCAGAAACCTGGGAGCTTTAATAACAAGAACATAATTGAATGCCTGTACGTACCGTTCCATTCCCAGCCTCCAGAAAATGGTGCCAAAAAGGAGGGCAGCAAGTATGGTAAATAGAAATCGAACATTGTTGTAACTAGGACTCCGCCAATAGGTTATATTCTGCTTCCACAAGCAGGCAATAGTTTGAGTCCAGAATGGCTGAGAAAATTGAGAGGCGAACCACAGGTCCTTGGCACCCTCCGGGGGAGTGCTGAGTTCATGAACAAGAGCTTTATTTCTCCTGCACAACATCCACCGTCTGATTAGTAAGTTAAATGTTCTAGCAAGACTCTGGAAATACTTCCAGCATCCAACTGGGAGAACTTGTAAAAAGAAGTAATAACAAATGTCAATGATGTCTTCAATGACTTACTCAAATAAAGCGGATTTGGAATATATGTCAGCAAAATCCACTGCGAGACGATTTTCAACAGAAACAGAAGAAACCTCCAGCATCCAAGTGGCTGGATTGTATCCTTCTTTTATCTTTGGTGTTCCTGGTATAGCCTGAAAGTAGTGATCGGGTACAGACAGATGAAGGTATTTCTCATTAGATGCTTCACACCCTGATACCCTTTTTATCCAATAGAAACGAAAAATATACGATTGTACTCCAGACTGAATCTATACACCAAGTCTACACACTAGAGCTCTTGATGAAAATTACCTCAAAATATTCTACAAGCTTGTGGGAGTGACGTCCTAAAGGACCAGCATATATAACTTGCCCGCCGCGCTTCATTAGCAGTAACTGCAAATCATACAAAAACAAGCTGTTGGCTGACACTCAAACGACGATACACTGGCTAACGCGCCAAACGTTCTTATGTTAGTTCCATTACTATAATAAAACGTGTACGCACTTATCTTTACATGCTCGAAATCTATTCCATCAAGTTCTCTTAAGTACTAAAAACCCATTGTAGCCCCCTAGAACACTTGCAATGAGTACGACATTAAGTCATGTACCTCGTCGAAAGCTTCAAAGATGTCGATACTTGGTTGATGAATGGTGCAAACAACGGTCCGCCCCGTATCGACAGTATTGCGAACAGTTCTCATTACGATGGCAGCTGCTCGAGCATCCAGACCTGAAGTGGGCTCGTCCATAAAGATGATGGAAGGATTCGCAACTAATTCTACAGCAATTGTCAACCTTTTGCGTTGCTCTGTTGACAACCCAGACACACCAGGTAAACCAACGAGAGCATCCCTAAGAGTCGTGAGCTCCACCAGATCCATGACTTGCTGCACAAACAACTGCAATTTATCCACCAAACGTCCACCGGTCAGTAAACGTGGCAGGTAATAATCGCGTTCATGATACTCGGTGTTTGGCTAGAACGCAAACAGCTCAAGATCTCTAAACATACCTCTTTGGTCTCCTTTTCAATGTTTCTGTCCAGTCGAAGCCAGGCACTGTATACAAGAGACTCGAATACAGTCACTTGTGGAGAGTGAATGTCGTTCTGCTCGCAGTAACCTGAAATTCTAGCGAACGTTGCCTGCTTTTTGGGATATCCTGAGATTCTAATGTCACCCTCGATATAGCCCCCTGTCTTCCTTCCTGCTAAAACATCCATCAAGGTACTCTTTCCCGCTCCACTAACCCCAACAAGAGCCGTCAAAACTCCAGGTCTGAAAGCTCCAGTCACACCCTTCAATAACTGTAGTCTGTCCTCTCCAGCTCCTTGGGCTTTCATTTCCTGCCAATAAACGAGAGACAATAGTTCAGACCATCGAACTCAGTCATGTATGCTTCAATCGTTACAGACGTCTCTCTATCTACTGTAATGCGTTCAGACTCTGGAACCACTCTCTCTGTGAAGCAAATTCTGAAGCAAACAACGACGAACGTAGCTCTTCTTCACCCTTGAATCGATCTCGCAGACAGAGAACATACTCTGTAAACGCCACATAATGGATGAAGTCAATGTTTGTTGGTCAACTTACCGCAGGCATGTCAACATAGTACTTCACGTCATCGAAACTGATTGATAATGGTTCAAATGGAAGAATCATGCCCCTCTTAGAAGGCGTGCCCTCTCCTCCATGCTCAAATGAGTCTCTGCTCATTGACGAGTTGCTAGCGCCTCTCTTAGACACCGATGAAGAGCTTATTCTGCTCATCCCTATCTCAGAAGTCACTTTGCTCGCTGATGCTGAGAGACTTCTTGGTTGCCTCCTTGAGATACTCGAGCCTGGTTTTCAAAATGCGATACAAGTGAGGTCGTGCTCTGAATTTGTCAAATTGAATCTTCAAAACGCTTGACATGGAAGATCGCCCTAGGAACATCGCTCTGTATCTTACAACTCACCTTGTCCAACACTGCCAGAGGCGGATCTAGCAACTCGCTGTGCTTCCCCCATTGAAGGGGTCTCCACCCCGGTAAGAGCTGCTTGTTTTTCATTATACACTTCTTCGGAGATAACTGCTTGAGATCTGCCCAGAGCTACACAATGAAAGGAGCAACAAAATGGATCAGCAGCCAACTCACAGCGTCTCCCAGTCTTCTCCAATCAGGATCATACAATCATTCCAAGGACCAAAAAAGTCAACATGAAACATATCGTGTTGTACTGTCCAACTTGCAGTGCATTTGAACTGAACATCCACATGAGCTTTGAGCTGAATGTGCACCTCGAGTCAACTATCAAGCTTGGAAGATGGAGGTAACTTACGATTTAAGTAGGTGATGGCTAAAGTAAACAGAACATTGAACAGAAGTGCGTAGCCAAGATTCACACCAACTCCAATCCAGAACCAACGACCTCTTGGAAAGACACCGGAGCTTTTTAAAAACGTAACTCCCAACGAGTCGTTAATTCCGGGAATAGGCTGTTCACAAACAAAAGAACAGATATCCATAAGACACCGTCCCATAGAAGAATGTCTAACCCATATAAGAATACAGGTAAATTTCTACCCAGTAAGGGCTCAGTGAGTACCTTATTCCATTGCGGTGCAAGGAATTCGTTCACATCAACAGCGTTCTGAGCGTATGACAGAGGTGATATCCAGTATCCCCATATCCACCAGGGCTTGATAGATGTCCTCGGAAGTAGAAATCCTCCAAGAACGAAGACCACCAAAAGGGCCAAGGATCCTCCTGTGTTTGCAACCACCATGGTGCGACAAATACCCGCAATCAAACGGAAAAGGGCCGATGCCATGGAGTGCACACTGAACATAAGCAGAAGCTGACGGAAAAATCTGTACGTGTCCAACGGGGAGTGTCACACAAATTGGAAGTCTGCCTCCGTACAACATCACGAAGAACTAGCGCAGAAAGCAGAATGACATGTCCATGCAATTGTTTACCTGGCAGCTGATGGAGCGAAGCCAACTGTGTAGTAGGTGATGATGACCCAGATAGAAGACTCAAGCACAGATGTGGGAATGTTTATGAGAAACTTCGATAAGGTAAAAGTCCATGGAGGGTGAAACAACAGATCCCTTTGTTTGTAAAAAACAGGTAGCCGGATAATAGTCATTGACAGCTCAGAGAATCCGTTGAACAAAATATTGACGACTCCAAAAAACAGAGCTCCAGCATAAGTTTGTGCATCTTCCAGGTTATCTCGGGACATCTCTGTTCTGAAGAAGGTGGTCATGGCTATAAATGCCATTACAGCAATCTGAAAGGCCTTGAAATAGCTAACAAATGCGTTCCTTTTCATTAAAAGAACTTCCTTCTGGAAACTGAACCTGAGAAGATCCTTATACGGCACTGAGTACTTCTTGAAAGACAATGCTTGTGGATGACTTTTACTCTTGTCAAATGGAATTGATAGTTGTCGAGCCATCTCAGTACCGACATAAAATTCCTGGAACGCATCTGCAAAATCCTTCACTGACGTGTACTGATACGGTCTTCTCTTGTCAGCCCAATACTGCTCTTGATCTTTCCTGGAAGTCACCTGCGTTGTCGCACATAAGTTAGAACAACTCATTTCACAATAATGTCTAGTTTTATCGGGATAAATGACAGACGAAACCGCGTGAATCCATTATTTGATTGATCGAATATAACTTCTCACCTCTTGTAAGAAATCGGCAACACCCTTCCTTTCCGGGCATTTGTATCCACATGATTCGAAAAACTCCAAGATGTTTTCCCGAGGTCCGTGGTATACCACTTTCCCCTCAGAGAGAAGCACAATGTCATCGAAGAGATTGTATGTCTCTGGTGCAGGCTGTAAAAGTGAGATCATCACAGTAGAGTCCAGTACATGGGCGACGTCTCCAAGACACTTGACGATTTGGAAGGTTGTCGAGGAGTCCAGACCAGTAGAAATTTCATCCATGAATAGCGTCCTCAGGGGTCCCACGATCATCTCTCCTGCAATTTCAATATTACGCTTCACAATCAACAGCTGGGTAAAGGTTCGGAGGTAGATAGTTGTGGTATGTCTGGCAGAGAGGTCTGTCTAACAACCAATCATAAAGAATAAAGTAATTCGAATCCCAAATACACAAGGACTAAACCATACCGGTTGTAACTCGTTTCTTTTGTCCACCCGAAATACCTCTCCGCATGTCATCTCCGACCATAGTATCGGCACAGATATCCAGACCAAGAATCTGCATCAGACAATTCTAGCTATGATGAATTTCTCAAATCGCAATACATGTACACAAAGCAGCAAAGCTTATACACTTGCCTGGCTCACGTCTTTTCTGCTTCAGCCCGGGAGAGAATCTTGGAACCATCCATTGAAATGTGGTTCTAAAACACAGGTAATGTAATGCACTAAAACGATACGTCGAAGAAGTAGCTCGCACAAACTGACCTTCATGATGTATTCTGTGATAAGACTTCCAGTGCCGGCAGCCGTGGACTGTGAAAGAGCATAATGAGAAGTTAATAAAACAAACAAAAACCCGTAGTAAAGCGTGACTTCAATGTGAACTAGCACAGACGTCCTACTCGTATTGCCTTCAACCTTGTCATCAGAGAGTATCTAATGAGGAAATAGATTGCATGCAACTATGTCCTCGATTGTGCACAAAGTATATATGAAGTCAAGATGCGATGTCCTACAGTCCGCTCACCTTCATGAAGAAGTCCAGGTCCGGATCAGCACGAAGTCCACGCTGCTTTTCTCTCCTGTCAAGTTCCGCCAGAAGATCTGTACATATAACATTGGTACTCGGAACGATTAATGATGATATAAACAACTTCGTCTGGTGGACGTCGATGGACAGCTTTCAAAATTTCAAATTTAGTCACGAGAACCCGCCTAATTCAATCTACTTGAGGAATATTGAGATGTTCTTATGGAGACATGTGCAAGCCATATGTCCATGTCTTGAGTGGCGGTACTGCTTTTTTCCGGTTCTGGCTATTATGGACTCGAAAGTTCCAGCTTGAAATTAAGTTCTTCTAAATTTATTATAAGAGTAAAGAAATCATAATGTCATAATAACTCCGATATATTCCATATTTTAATTGTAATCACGACCGAACTTTTCATGATGTGAGGCTTAGTCGATTAACTTAGCATCTAATTCACGTACCAAATCTCTCCCCGACGCCCTGGCAACGGGCCGAGAAATCAAGAGTTTCTCGCACAGTCATCTCCCCAATGTGAAGGTCATGTTGACTAACGTAGGCCGCAGTCTTTTGGGGGACGAAGTCCTTCATGTCAAATCCATTGTAAGTTATCTTCCCGTCGACCTGTCAAAATTTGGTTTCAGACCAACTCATGAGTTCAGCAGCTAAAGGACAAAATCAAGTCAGAAATACTATTGCGCAAGACAAGGATGTGCCTCAATCTGCTCTTCCCTGTTTCCCGGATCATATTGATGAACCAATTTAGCCGTATCTCTCTTTGGATCAATAACTTGGCTTTCATTGGGCTTACGTCTGTGCAGAAAACTGTATGAATGAATGTGAAGGCGAGTGACACTCTGACATCCACTGACACACAAAAAAAGGAAAGGAAAATTCTCAAGTACCTTCAGGGACTTGTCCAGTCTTCCAGCCAGCGCGAGAAGAAGAGTCGTCTTGCCCGAACCCGGCGGCCCGAGCAGTAATGTCATCCTACGCATGGTGTTCAAACGACATACAAATCATGCGTAGCCTTGACGATTGCAGCAGGCAATACATATCACACCATATTCGTCAGTTTATGGCAGATTTGCTGGAGATCTGGTACAACGACGGAGGGTGGCGCAGAAACTCAACCAACCTGCCCGGCCTGATGATCCCACTAACGTCGTCCAGGATGGATACGCTTGTCTTCTTCGTCACAGGAATTCCAATCTTGTTCAAGACGTACTGTCATGCAAACAGCAGAATATTCAGCTAGCATACTCATGACCAATACAGCTTTTCATCTTCACAAGAATGAAACGTACCATTCTGAAATTCGTCGTCAAGCTCACTCTAAGCGCCAACAGCATCAAGGTTGATGTACAGAACAAATTTCAATGTCTGGAACTTTACATATATCTTGTCTTAGTTCAGTGCGCTCGTCTTAATGAGTTATCTTGCTCAATCCACTTTCCAAATTTTTCGACGGCGCGGAAGCAAGGAAGGATCAATTTACCACAATGAAGAAAAACAGTCGCCCAGAAATTTGCAATCACTCACCTCAATAGTGTTCCGCGCAGCATTTGTCAAACTCGGCAGAGCACGACCACCAACATAGCAGTCAGCTGTTATGGTTAAATGATCGTAGCGAACTTCCTGGGTAGGTTGTTGGAGATCCACTCTGAGGACAAGCAAATCCAATGGACCACAGAATCAAATTTTTGTCCGTCTGAGATTGGACTCCGATTTTCAATTCCTTTGGTCCTCTGAAGGGAGCACAGATCGAACTTTGAAATTCTATGCAATATAGACAGAGCTCAGAGCAGCTAAAATTGATACTGAGCCACTCTTAGTTCTGACCAATCTTGCAGTGTGGATGTGGGAAGTATCTTGACCTTTCTCAGCCATGAATACTAACCTCTGAATTCGGTTGCGTAATCTAGTGAGAAACACCTCGTTATCTTCCTCGGTGCTCTTCATATTGAAAACATTACGGAGGAGGGCTTGATTCTCCTCGATTCCAGCCAACCTCACATCCAATTGTGTAGGGGCCGCTTTGTTGCCTAACTGCTCGAGTATTGTAGTCCGCAGACGATCGTAGGTGGGCAGTTTCTCTAACGCTGCCCATTTCAAGGCTTCCTCATCATCGTCCCCTGGTTGCCTTCGGCTCTCCGAGTCCCTGGCGAAAACATTGTCCGGCCCAACTCCCCAATTCCTAGAGCTCCCCCCGAAGCTCCTTCTGCTGCCCGTATTGGTCCCAATACTGACGGACCTGCCCAGGCTCCATAAGTCGATCGACTGGAGGTTGCTCCCCGTAGATGCTGCCATCTTGATACGTTTGCTATGCTAGACTGAGTATCGATAATAATCCTCCACCGCCTCGCTTCAGACTAATTTGCTATCTTGGTTTCAGTTCCTTTGAGCGCAATTCAACTAAAAGCTGACAGCATTCGTCGAAGGAAGTCTAATGCACTCAGAACATTAGAACTCTTCCACCGCCTGACTTCTGATAATCTGCTCTCTTGCTTTCAGCTCCCTCCAAACTGAATTTCTGGTAAAATTGACAGCAACCTTCGACCACCGTTCCTGCTCCTACTGACTCCAGTACATAATCGACAGCTGCCTCCTACGAGAAATCCAAGCACCGATATTTCGCACTAATCTGAGTATCTTCTTACAGCAGAGACCCACGGTCCTACAGCTCTCTGATTTCTTCACTATCTGCCTATGAGCCGACTGAACTATCTAACTGCGCATGCAGTAAACTGGAGAGGTATATTGAAGAAGAAGGAGAGAAAAGTGTTTCCTACAATCCCATGTGCTGAACATGGACAAATCCATGAGGTCACTCTTCTACGGCTAAGTGTTACTTTCAGTTCTGAGTCGACTGGCTCTTATACTCCCACAAGATTGTCCCTCGTCCCAGTACGGCTTTCACTCTCCACGAACATATCTAAAACATAGCTTCCCGTACGATAGGCCGGTTCCAATTCCGCGGGCGAATTCGTCAAGGGCGACGACGAAAATTCCTACAGTGCTGCGACACTCATGCCTGGACAATGTCGAAATGCGCTCTCGAAGGTTCCACTCTCAGAAAAGGCTGGGGACCCGTGACCGGGGGGAGTGAGGGGGGACGCATAGAGAGGCGGAGAGAGAAGGATGGCAGGCAGACAGCACACCACCACCGCTGAGCCTTCTTCAAGGCCTACGATTGATTGTAGCTGTCGGGACTGCTGCTGCCGGTACTCGATGGCGGTCGCTGCGAGCAGCATGCCAAATCACGCGATCGCAGTTTCGTCGCCCCGTTCGGCTCCCGGAAGATGCACCTGTCTCTGGAAGCTCGAAAAGGAGGCCCCTCCTGGAGACTTTGGCGTGGCACAAGACCTCCCCCTTCGGGCCACGATTGACGCGTGGCCATCTTCTCTTTCGTCGTCAGTCAAAATTGGCGCAGTTCTGCTCCCTTCTTCTCCTTCCGCAACCGCGAAGTCCACCACGTCTTCCGCCCGGTCTCCACAAACGACGACCTCCGCCATTCACGTCGCTAACCTTCGGCATCTTTATTTATATTCCGGTTTATTGATCACAACTGATCAGAATACTCTTTAATATGGAATTAAAGGGTCGGGAAGGGAACATATAATGGAATGTGGAATAATTGCATAAAATTTAAAGTATTTATTCAATTAAATTTTTATATATGTTAAATTCATAATATTCTTCTTTACTTCCTGGCTCACCCGTGGCCCATGTAGGTCCTTTCTAGCAATTATAAACCCAATGTACAATCGTGAAAAGAGCTAAAGGTTGAAACAAAAATTGGTTGTAAAGCGTTGCGGAAAATACCAATGTACAATCGTGAAATGAGCTATATATATATAAAAAAATTTTGGTTGTAAAGCGTGGGGGAAAATATTATGGAACCAACGCTTTTCGTCATCCTTACTTGTTTCGGAATTTTCGACTTGAAGTGGATAATTATATATTCGCTTGCTATCTAGAACTCGTAAATATGCGCGGGTGAAGATCAGACTGTGTCTATATTTGATACTTCCACCACGCCTGAAAATCTCAGACACGTCGCGTGGCTTGACGATTGTTTCGGACAGAGGTGCGATGCGATTGACTGCTGGGGTTAGCTCCGCTCGACTCGGCTGTCGAACCTTCGGAGAATTAGCCAATCGAACGTTCGATAGGGTGGTCAAATATCGCTTTATTCCGGTGTACCTTGCAGTTTAAGACTGGAGGAGCGAATTTCCTCTCGATCGAGAATGGTCAGGAATGTCGAACTTTCTCTCTCCAAAAGTTCAAAAGTATCTGATCGAGAAGAGATTGCCGACTTATTTGACTTGACTAGGACTAGCTTCATGGACTAAAGTCTCAACAAAGTGGGCATATATATCTTCCTAGATTCATCCAGTCATCCAGCATGCTCTAATCTCTCGTTATTACTAGAATGCAACTCATACATCTGGCTCAAGTATGGATCAAGGCTGTCTGGATATCGCCACGTACTTTTCCTACATCCATACTGTCAAATGTTTAAACCAGATGTTTTGCGATCCATCCATAAATGGTGAAAGGACGTGTTCTGCTATTTTCATGGCGTTCCTTTATATATATTTATTTAAAAGCTTAAAGTAGTGTACAATGTGACACTACTGGGATATTTGTGTAGAGTCTGTTCTTTTCGATACGTGGATGAATTTCTAGAAAGCGTACTTGACATTAAGGATCTTCACAGTTGACAAACAGCGGTTTCTGAGCCTAAGATATCGTGATTTGGAGCGGCTGGTCTCTTGTCGACATTATGGAGTCTAGATACGTCCCGCTGCATAACCTGCACTAGTTTGCCCCGCATGTGCTGTGTGTTATCTGGTCGATGCGTCTGAAACCATGGTCGTACATCAGCACCGGCATGAATCTTCAAAGCTTTAGAAGGGTTCCAGTCCATGGGAGAGAACATTCTGCACGTCTTGCGGGGTTTTCCATATTGTTGGCAGATTATTGTCAAATGAGATCACACAGTGAGAACCAGCTGTAGTCCACTGTGCCGGATGATGCCTTCCTAAATTGTACACGATAGAGTTGAACCCGACCTTCTTGAAAAATTGGGCGTGAAATGAGAAAAAATTTGGACGACGTCATCAGGTACTGAACAGGTAGCTAACACGTGGCTGGTACCAAATAGCATTCTGATGCTATTGCGTAGTGTTGATCATGGAGAGCACTAGCTAGTGCAAACCTGCCGTGTAGTACCGTAGGCTTGTGCCCGTATTCTCAGTACCATGAGGTCAGAAGTAGTTCCATTCTTCTTGAAACTCGTGAAAGAACATTTTCTCATAGAATAATTCAGACAAGGACAATGGGCACGCGAAGGAAGTTCTTTGACCGACGATTAGAATACTAGCAACCAGAACGAGACACAAAAATTTATGGACCCCGACTTCTCGGCTTTCCAAATTATCTTGTGACGAAGTTTGAATAATATACTACCGATTGATGCTACGATGGATAGATTCAATCAAGAAAATCTGACATTCCAGTAAACATCCGTTATTAAGTATGAATGAACTTGTACAAACTAGAATGTTACTCCAACGTTCCGAAGTTTCTTCTGATAATTTATTTGTACTATTTTTGCGCCCAAGAAAGTCAAGACCAAGAACCTTGACAAATCAAATCTATAGATTCACAAATTCATATCAAGCTTCATGTATCCTGATATTGCCTCTCGCCAAATCCCCTTCTGCAAATCATGCGATCCACACCTCTGTTCGGATCTTTCTTCATGTCCTACCCTGTTACTCTTCGAGAAGATTTGACGTGCTTTAGCACTTTGAAAGTTCCTTTGATTGAGTATCTTACTCTTTTCCCCTTATTCTTTTGTCTCTTATTATATTTTTTCTTGACCCTTACAATCCTCGTATGAACCACATCCCAAGAGATGATAAAAGAAAATAGAAAAATAGATTAAAATATAATAGAAATTATTTGTCTGAAATGTATCGGACTTTGTAATATGGGCATGAATAATGGCGTTCAACATCCGGACATGGGTTTAGATTTTTTTTACCCGGGAGAACTGAAGGGTTCTTCTTTTCAACACAATGTTCTCAGTTCGTGCTATATGTGTGACTATATTTAGCGCCTACTTTTATAACAAGTCGCCAATTGGATAAATCTTCATAAAATACTTTTATGTAGCATAACCTTATAGTTCTACTTCATATCCGTACTTCTAATTTTATGATGAAATTTTAATTTTTTATGTTTGTATACATCCCATTGTAATTACTTTAAAATGTCTTGTCGCGTACTTAAAATGTGAATGAATGTATTATTCATGGAAACTAAGGCTTGGTCAACCAATCTACTTTCTACAAATATGATAACGTTTACTATGTTTTCACTGTTCGTATCAATTAATTCTAGTTACATACATCAATATCGTTGTTATATACCATAGTTTTGTAGCGTTGGCGTTAGTTCTCATCTTCTATTTGGTCTGTGCAAGGCTGATACAAAATTTATCGTAATGTCTACATTAATTAAGCTGGTTGGATACAGATTGGCAGGTGAAATTTTATATGGAAAATGATAATAGATCAAACCCGAGTACCCAAAGGGTCAAAAGGTTGAAGAACACAATACAAGCGTAAAACCTCAAACAAGAGAAAAGACCCAAAGATCAATCCTTAACTAGTGCCAAGAGCACTAGAAAGGTAACCAATGATATCCCTACTATAACAACCTATATCAAATCATAATAACTTTAATATAGAATAGAAATTCTCTATATCTCTATTATCAGTAAGTCTAATCTCTTATAACCTAGTACAAGTAACAAATACTCTTCGTACTCAATAAAACCACCGTCACATAAACTACAAACCTACCCGGAAAATGTTTGAAAATAGAAAATAATAGAATTTAATGATGTATGTTGTAACCTCTAATGGTAATTTTCCATACGCATCTATTACAACCTATTTTGCATTCTCATGATTCCGCAATTTTGCCTTTAGAGGTAAGATGAGTTTGTGGACGTATTCTCCCATCTTCAGGACAGAAAGCCCCAAATTCTCTTTGGGTATAATTTCGTACTTTGGATTGTATAGTTTCGTTTGTACAAACTATTGGAAACAAAGCAACTTATCATGATCAACAGTTGATGATCAACTCATGCAGATTTAGTCAACAAACAGCATATGATAAAAGTACCCGTTGAGAACAATTATCACAGTGTAGATCTAAATTAAGTATTACATTTAAAAAATAAAATAATGCGGCTATTTGGTTGAGAAAATGTAACAAGTATCTCAACTTTCTTTCGTAGTTGACTAGCTATTGAGAAAATTCGAAATATTGATTTGTAAATACCTCAAGTTGTGCAAATCTTTTTACATGACATTTAGATGAATTCCTAAGATGACTTCTGTACCTCTTAGCTCAAAATCAGTTAGATACTTATGAATCGATGTCAAACAATTGTTGCTCAACAAAACATTTCTGAATATGCTTCATCAGAAAACTTGTAATTGATGATCGACCATATTCAGGATTATATATTAATTGGACTTTCATCCAGCTATCAATGTATAGTACACTAGTATACACTAATTCCAGACTATTCAGGTATGTACACTCCTTCTGTAGATTTATAAATACAGTTGGATCACGAGAAATAACATAATAACTAATTACTAAACTGATGTGAGTTAAATCTTAGCCGATGAAATCAACATCAGCCGATATTGCTTAGACAATGTAGATGTGGTGTACAAGACAAGTACCGTATTACTAGTCCACGTGATAATTTCAAATCATCGAAATATAATCTCAAAATGGTTGTGGAGAAATTTCAAATTCGAGACGAGATGTATCTTTGAGAATCAACTTTGACACATTAGCTGATCCATAGGACCATTTTTCGATTTGTGCGTCTCTCAAGGGCCATTCTAATTTAGAGATCTTCTAATGTAGGTCTCCGTATATAGACATCTGTCGAAAGAAAAGAGAGAATAGAATAGTGTACATATATATACTGTAGATATGAGAAGAAGGGAGAAAAAGCTAAAAAGTAGTGGAAAGGTATGCTGACAGCTGCATGTGAAAGTTTACACCACTGCAGCCCCTCCTCGGAGAGACTCTGATAATGAGCGTGAACTGTAGGGGGTCATGAACATTTTGGAGGAAGTACAATGGAGAGAGAAGCAGCCAATCAGGTCACTTGAATGCATAATTTGGAAACTAAGAGTAGTGTGCTATACGTGCCGTCAAGGTCGAAGCTTTGTGGCAGGAAGCCAGA